TAATTGTAGCTCCTATTAATCTTTGTCGTCATAAATATTGAAGTGTTTGTATTAGCTAACACTTTTTTTACTATTCATGTGTAATTTTCTGATTATATATAGCTGTTGAAATGAATGATTAAGTTTTGTATTGATTCAACCAATATCTTTAATTATTCATATTTAATTTTATGCTTATATTCATTTCTGACTTTGGCTATTTTTTGTGCTTATATAATCAGAAGTGTTAATATGCCATCAAAGAGAAAGCAAGATCCAATAAAAATAGCAGAATATGATAAATCAGATTGCAAGAAAAGAAGATATATCAGACTACAAATTCTAAGAGAGAAAAAGCGAAAAAGAGAAGAAGAAAAAAATATGGTGCATAATAACAATAAAAAATGTAATAAAGATGAAGAAGAAACATCAAAAAATAGTAATATAAGAGATATAATATATACAGAAAAGCAAAAAAATATTAAAAATAAAAGAAAAATACAATATAATTTAGATTATCTAGAAAAAATTGCAAAAAAGAAATGTTTAGAGATAGACCATATATCTTCATATTTATCAACTTCACATGGCATGGTGTCCTTTACCCCAGAATACATTAAATATCTAAAAGAATCATATGAAAACAAATCATTTATAGGTATGCCAGAGTATAAATGTAAACATTGCAATGCTATATTTTGGTTTGAAGAAAGAAATAAAAGAGAGACAAAGAAAAGAAAAGGTGAAATTATATATTCAAATTGCTGTAAAAATAACAAAATAAAAATACCACCATTCCAGAACCCACCAGAAACACTTGCTAGGTTACTTAATAATAAAGAAGATAATCTATCAAAACATTTTATGCAGAAGATTAGACAATATAATAGTTTATTTTCTTTTACTTCAATGGGTGGCACAATAGATAAAAATATAAATAATGGCGATGGACCATATGTGTTTCGTGTAAATGGACAAATACATCATCGTATTGGATGTCTCCTACCTAAGCCTAATGAAATTCCAAAGTTTGCAGAACTATATATTTTTGATACTAAAAATGAAATAGAAAATAGAATACATGCTTTAAATAAAGAAGAAATGGGAAGTACAGATATCAATCCGTATATAGTTGAACAATTAAAAAAAATGTTTGATGAATATAATCCATTGGTAAAAACATTTCGCTATGCTCGCGATCTATTTGAAGAAAATAAAGGTGTTGATTTTAGTATTCGAATAATAGGGGCTGATAAAGGTGATCCAATACAATATGAAATGCCACATACAGAAGATTTAGCAATTTTAATAGTTGGAGAATTAAATCTAGAAAATTATAAAAGAGATATTATTGTTCAAAATAAAAATAATGGATTACAACGCATATCTATATTCCATCCAGCCTATATGGCTTTACAATACCCTTTATTATTTCCTTATGGAGAAAGAGGATTTCAACTTGGCATACCATATTATAATAGTAATACAAATAAAAAGAGTAAAAAAACAAGATCAACAATTACAGTACATGAATACTACAAATATCATATGCATTATCGACCAAATCAACCAAATCCTTATTTATGTTATGGTAGATTATCAAAACAAGCAATAGTTGATGCCCGTGCAATAGAAGATGAAGATAGACTAATGTTTATTGCTAAAAATCAAAACAAATTACGAGCTGAATGTTTACAAGGAATATTTGATGCAGTACAAAAAGGTTTAACGGAAGGAAACCAAATAGGAAAAAAAATAATATTACCATCAAGCCATGTTGGTTCTAAACGATATACAATGCAAAACTATTACGATGGCATAGCAATATGTCGTGTATATGGACCTCCACATTTATTTATAACATTTACATGTAATCCTAGGTGGCCTGAAATTACTATGACAATCTTAGAAAACGAACAACCCAATGATAGACCTGATATTATAGTTCGAGTATTTCATATAAAGCTAGAACAATTAATAGAAGATATACAATCCGGCACAATATTTGGACCTACAACAGCTATTTTATACTCGGTAGAATTCCAAAAAAGAGGTTTACCACATGTACATATCTTAGTTTGGTTAGATAAAAAGCCAAGTGAAATAACGATTGAAATGATAGAAAAATGGATATCAACTGAAATACCAGATCCTAGAGAAGATCCTCTAGGATACATCCTTATAGCTGAACATATGATGCATGGACCATGTGGAGCCAAGAATGAAAATTGTCCATGCATGAAAAAAGGCAAATGTTCAAAATTTTACCCTAAAGAATTCAATGATCAAACTAATTTTACTGAAAATGGATTTGCACAATATAAACGTAGAAATACTAATATATACATACGTAAAGATAACCATAACTTGGACAATAGATGGGTTGTTCCACACAATTTATTCCTATTAAAAAGATATCAAGCCCATTTAAATGTTGAGTTTGTTAATCAAAGCAGAATGTTAAAATATTTATGTAAATATGTAAACAAAGGAGGGGATAAAGCTAAAATAATTTTCCAACGTATCAAACAAGGAATAGATCATTCTGAAAATGAGCAAACAGAAAAAATAGATGAAATAGAAGAATATTTAGAATGTAGATATATTTGTGATCAAGATGGTATGTGGAGATTACTTGGATATGAAATACATTATCATTGGCCACCAGTGGAAAGAATGCCTGTTCATCTTCCCTTAATGAATATGGTCAAATTAACTAAGGATACAAAACTAAAAAATATTATAGAAAATCCAGATAATCAAAGAACGATGCTTACAGAATGGTTTATGGCAAATCAGTTACATGAAGAAGCAAGAAACTTGACATACTGTGAATTCCCACAAAAATGGAAATGGGATAAAAAAGAAAGGAAATGGGTCAAACGACAACATGGTTTTAAAATAGCCCGTTTATATTATGTCAAACCAACTGAAGGAGAACGTTTCTATCTACGTATGCTATTAATGATAGTTAAAGGAGCAAAAAACTATGAAGATATTAGAACATACAATGGTATTATTTATAAAACTTTTAAAGAAACATGTGCAGCACGTGGATTATTAATGGATGATAATGAATGGTATAAAACATTTGACGAAGCTGCAAGTTGGGCAACATCTCCACAACTACGATCTTTATTTATAATCCTACTATTGTATTGCAATTTAGAAGATGAAAGGAAATTTTTTGAGACAAATTGGGCAAAAATGGTAGATGATATAAAATTTCAATTAATATCAAAATATCACCCAATTAAGTACAACCCGACTGATATAGAATTAAAAGATATTCTAATTGAACAAATAGAATATTTATTATCCAAAAGTGGTATAAGTATAGATAAATTTAATCTTCCTCAGATGACAGTAAGATACAAATTAGATTCAACTAATACACTAATTCAAGATGAATTAAATTATAATGCAAATGATTTAGAAGAGCAAGCTAACAAATTGTACTTACAGCTAAACGATGACCAAAAGAAAGCATTTCATCTTATAGTAAATAGTGTAATAAATAAAGAAAGTAATTTTTTCTTTGTATCTGGCCATGGAGGAACTGGCAAAACATTTTTATGGAATACTATTGTATCATTTTTGAGAGCTAAAAAAGAAATTGTTCTAACAGTCGCATCGTCTGGAGTAGCATCATTATTACTACCAAATGGTCGAACAGCCCATTCAAGATTTCGAATACCAGTTGATATAGATGAACTATCATTATGTGATATTAAACGTGGAACAAAATTAGCTGAATTACTAATAGAAACTTCTCTTATAATATGGGACGAAGCATTAATGACAAATCGCCAATGCTTTGAGGCTCTTGATAGAACATTAAGAGATATATTATCAGAAAAATATATTAATGCTATCGATAAACCATTTGGAGGTAAAGTTGTTGTTCTAGGAGGAGACCCTAAACAAATCTTACCAGTTATAGAAAATGCATCAAAACTGGAAATTATTAATGCATCAATCGTAAAGTCATATCTTTGGGGGTATGTTAAAAAAATATTTCTATTTGAAAATATGCGATTACAAAAAACCAAATCTAATACTTTAGAATATAAAGAAATCAATGACTTTAATAATTGGATTCTGGATATAGGCAATGGTAAAATAAATACCAAACAAAGTACTGCTCAAAATGAAGACACAGATACAACCATTATACAAGTGCCGGAAAATTTATTAATAAACACAGGAGAAAACAAATTAGAAGAGTTGGTAAAGTTTACATACCCAGATTTCAAAAATAGTTTCTTTAATCCAAATTATTTGAAAAATAGAGCAATTCTAGCTACAACTAATGAGATTGTTGATGAAGTGAACAACTATATACTTAGCTTAGTACCTAATCAAGAGAAGGAATATTATAGTGCTGACACACTATCTCAATGTATGGATACAACTAATGATGCGGACATATTATATCCTGTCGAATATTTAAATTCTCTAAATGCCAATAATTTTCCAACTCATGTACTTAAGCTGAAAGTTGGAGTTCCTATAATTTTGCTAAGAAATCTAAACCAAAATTTAGGATTGTGTAATGGAACAAGATTGATAATAACAAATTTAGGAGACAATATTATAGAAGGTATAATAATAACAGGAACTCATATAGGAGAAAAAGCATATATACCCAGAATAAACTTAACAACCCGAGGAAATCAATGGCCATTTACCTTGTGTCGACGACAGTTCCCAATAAAAGTGTGCTATTCTATGACTATAAATAAAAGCCAAGGACAAACTTTATCTAATGTTGGTTTATATCTAAAAAAACCAGTCTTTACACATGGCCAATTATATGTCGCAATCTCACGAGTAAGCAATAGTAAAGGTTTAAAAATTCTAATAGAAAATGAAGATGGGACATGTGCAACACAAACAAAAAATATAGTATATAGAGAAATTTTAGATTCATTTAGATCTTAATGTATACTATATTTTTCTCTATATACTATATAAACACAAACACAGTACTAACATTTTCCATTGCTTATAATTTGCAGATGAATATCACTCCAATTGCAGAGCTGCGCCCAGGGCGATATGACTACATGATATGCGTCCGAATATCCAGGATATGGGAATTTAGAGGAACTAATGAAGATGATAACATCAAACATTTAGATCTGGTTTTACTTGATCAAAAGGTAATACTATATCCTTTATTTATATTTTCTCCTAACATATATTTATCATTAAATATATATTATTTTATTAAAATTGCATGGCCATTGCAGGGAGATGCTATCTATGCTGAGATCCCACCTGATGCTATACCTTTATTGAACCAATATTTACAGGAAGGAAATATCGTCTACATCAGCAAGATAACAGTTAACAATGCTAAGCCCAGTTATAGAGCAGTTGGTAATCCATATATGATCAAACTAAACAAAAGAACTTGTATCATTGAAGCCAAAGATCAACCTATGGATTTTCCAAAGTATACATTTGATTTGGTGTCATTTGATAAACTTCATGATTTCACAAGCAAGACTGATCGTTTTCTAGGTACTAAATTAACTTTTATTTCATTACACGTAACCATAATATTCTATATGCAATGTTATAATCAAATACTTTATTCTATCTTTGCAGATGTTATTGGAAAAATCATTGCTGTTTCTAATGCAGCAATGATTTCTACAAGTTCATCAGATTATAGGATGAGAAGAATAGTCAAACTACAAGATTTAAGGTAATTTATGCCAATATCAGCTATATTTCCCCATCTGAACACTAACACTAATCTGAAACTACTTGATACTGACTTTATTGTTTCTTCAAAGTGGAAAAACCATCGACCTCTCATTATCAGGAAAAAGAGCTGTTGAGTTTGATGGAGAGACAATACTGGAAGTTGGTCAAAATAACCATATAATAGCAATATTTGTTGGTACATCAATGAAAATCCTTAAGGGAACATATGAATTTCTAAGTGGAACAACAGCTTGTCGTTGGTATATCAACGAAAATGACATCCCTGAAATCAAGATGTTTCAGAAATGGTAAGTACAATTTAATCCCCTGCATATCTTCTTTTACTTTATGGAATTTCCTATTTCTAACATCTTATATATGCAGCCTTCCACCACATGCTGATCCTATACAAAAGCTATACTTGCAAAGTGATGAAGATATGCAACGGAGCATTGAACACAAAACACTTGCAGAATTGAAGGAAATTGATCCTTTTGTTGACAAGGTTAGACTTATGTACCTAAATTAATATACTATTAAATTCTTTCATTGAACTACAACTTAAACCTTTCATTTATACATTTACATAGGATGAAAAATACCAGTGCACTGCTACTATCATTGGAATTCAGGAAAGAAAAACTTGGTGTTATCAAGCCTGTAAATTGTGCAATTGCAAGATGATATGGGATGGTTCTATATTAAAATGCAAGAAAGAGAACTGCCCATGTAGGCAGTATGAGTACAAGTGAGTATTTCTTTTTCCAATCATACTATTAAGTGTGAATATATATAACTATAATTTTCAAATAACTCTGCACTTGAACAGGTACAAAATACCATTCATTGCAAATGATGGCACAGCTAGCCTTGAACTTGTGCTATTTGAAAAGAAAGGTACAGAACTTATTGGTAGGACTGCTGAAACTATGAAAAGGCAATATGATATCAATCAAACACCTCCAGAAATAAAAGCATGGATAGGACATAAATTCACATTCATAGTGAAGGTTTTGCTGAACATAACTATCAACGCTGATGAACCTTCATTTGAGGTGCTGACAATTAAAGAAAGATTTGGAAGGCAACATTCCAGCCAAGGCTTTAAGGCAACTAAGAATCTTCCCATCAGTTCAAGTTCATCTCAACAACTACATAATTTACCTCCACTGGTGCCTATACTATCCAAGAAAATACAACATGAGGTAAAAGAGTAGTACTCTTTCTTTTATTCATTTTTGTCGGTGCTACATAATCTCTTACTATTTCCTTTCTTTTCTTTCTTATTTACTGCTCATCATCCCAGATAGAACCACCCCAAGATATTCAAAGCATGGAAGTTGAACCATATAATTTAGAAACAAGCACTTTGTCAGGAAAAAGAGCTTATGAAGATCCAAACAGTACAGATCAGGTAAACAACTGATCATATTTAAATTCATTTGTTTTTCATTCTTCAATCATACAATTAACCTACTAACTGTACTGTGCACAAGCTTGGCACCATTTCAATCAAGTGTATTTTTTTAGATAATGGAATGAAATATTCAAGCAAGTGTATACCCTGTGGTCAACAACTATTCTCTATTTACATGTACTATTCACATATATGGCTGACACTAGGGGTCTCATACTTGCCAAACCTACTGCCTGCATTGTGCTAAGTATTGCATGAGAAAGAATTGCTGGTTCCTTAGTAATATACTTTGATAAGGATTCTGTTTTTCTTTTTTAGGAAAATGATGAAGAAGAAAGCACTGACTATGGCTTCATTCAGACAAAGGGCAAAAAGAAGCGTTCTACCTGATAACTTCTCCAATCAAGACAGCCTACTTTTGCTATCTATAGTCCAAGATGGACACTTTTGTTATCCTCTCATCTACTAGCCAAATTACTTTTGGTGTATCTAGCTCTGACTAAGAACCTAGACTGATCTACTAGCCAGTTACTCTAATACAAAGTTGACATGGAGCTTTATTAAAATCTTTCATTATTTAAGCTCTAGATCAACATCTAGAGGATGATGACGATGACGATGGGTTGCTTGGTTCCGGCAAACGATTACGAGGACGTCGGCCGGGTTCTCGAGAATCCTGTCGTCGTCTCCCGTTGTTGAAGATAATATGTCAATACTCTTCAAATGTCTGTCACAAATAGCCACTGTGTTTTGTTCAGATTATACAGTCTATATCACACTATATGTCACAAAAATCTTCTAAATTTTGTAGTCTACTACAGCAATCATGATTGTGCACTGTAGTATCATGCTATAACTTGCGTTTTTTTTTTTGAGATAATACTTGCATTGTTGTTAAACTGATTATTCTGTCTCATTAGGGTCAAATAGCATGGCCCATCCAGTATTGCACGCGGCAAAGCCGCGTGTTTTTTTCTAGTGTGTCACGATATTGTTGCATATAGGAGATTCAGGCACGCGGTTGGCCATGTGACCGTATCCTCCTTTTTTTTTTTCCGCTTTTGTTACTGCACGTGCACGCACACCGGCCAGCTGGGCCAGGCCCTTGTCTCTCCGAGCCCCGCCTTTCGGGCTGAATTCTAAGCCAAAATGGACCAGGCCGTACCTGGCCTCCATGCTGATGGGCCGGCCTCTCCAGCTCGGAGGCCCATATTTGTTCTGCCGTCGCCGCGTCGTGCGGCCCGGGTCTCGATCGCTTTCGTGCGTGCATTCCTCGGCGAGATACACGCGCAGCGGCCACTGGCTTAGCTTTCACAGCTCGAAAGCAGCTTCCCCCCCGGAGCTTTCCAGCTGCACACACATCAGGATGTCACTGCTGCATCCATCCGATCCGAGCCCACCATCTCTGTGCTTTGCAAGCTCACGCGGTGGTCCGTCCAGCCGAAAGCTTCATCGACAAAAAAGGTCTGGATGTCACGCAGGACCAAAGAACAGCCTCCACCTAATTACCTCTGTTAAGTTTCTGCACTCTTGCTAAACTGTCGTTATGTTATACTGTTATTGACCATGAGCACGGATACTCCTCTCAAATATGTCACCCGTTCTGACAAACTTGCATACAACATAATACGGATCAAGTGACGCTGACAGCAAAAGGGAGGCTGATATGTTCTGCAAACCCAGCATGACTTGATACCAACACACACAGTTTATCCATTTTGATGCAAGGTGAAAATTGCAAAGCTTTCAGATTTGTACTTCGTATTGAGCAAACATGAAGAGTATCGGAGATTTGCCAACACGCAACAGCAACATGACCACTGCCCAAAATGAATAAATTAATGCATAACTTAAAATGGACACACACACACACACAGCGGCTATTTACACCTCAATCACTCCCTACGTCATCTTGTACAAGTGGAATAAATAACTTAGATGATCGATTCCTTCACTCTCCTTGGCATCAGGATCGATCATATTGTGTGTTGCAGTTCTGTTACAGCAGAGTACTCCCTTCAGCTGGTTCCAAGCCAAAAAATAAACACAACCAGCCCTGAGCTCCTGTGACAGCATCTACCTGGCTTCAAGTGCTGATGCCGCAGTCTCGACAGTCCCAAGTAAGCAGGTGTACACCTTCTGCTTCAGCTGCTCAATGGTTTCAACCAAAGCATCTTGAGATTTATCAACCTCACTATGCAACTGGTCGAGCCAGTTACTCGTCTCCTTCAGTTGCGACAACCGAACCGCGATTTGCCCGTCTCCGCCCTTGGAGTGCCCTCTTACTCGTTCTCTGGTGTTCTTGTTTTGGCCCTCGAACTTGAATCCAGCTTCAAGAGCATCTTCCAAGAAACTGAGAAACCATGACTGTGATTCTTTCTTTAGAATAATCCATGATCTGGAGATCTCCTTGAAACCATCCTCTCTGGCCCAGTCAATCTTTTCACTTGTGTAAGCATCGTCAGAGTTCTTTGCCGTACTACCTGCAACAGCTTTGTTCTGAGATGCAGAGGCTTTCCTTGATGGCTTTTCCTTCTCTGGCCGAGATTCTTTGACAGGCTCTGATGAGTAATCTTTCCAAAAAACACTTTGCTGAATGATAAGCCGGTTTAGCTGAAAAAACTTGGTAATTGCAGCATGTGGATCCTCCTCAGCGGACTTTCTGATCTCAGCGAATATTCTGAAAAACAGACACAGACATTAGTTCTTACGTTCAGTAGCAAGAGTACAGTATATAGTTTCAAGTAAAAGGTGTTTGACACTTTGGAAAGGATTTGCACAAAAAGGGAACAGGGGGACACCAACTACACCAGCTGGAATAGCTGTAAAAGAAACACCTGAGCTAACAGAAATTCAGCATAGAACTACTTACCCAAGGCCTTTAAGAAGTGAGGCCGCTGCAGTAGCCTCCCTTTGAGCCTCAGCTGCTACTACAAGAGCAATAGTCTTCCTCCTTGCAACAACCTATTCACACAAAAGAAATGTATGCAGCATGGATTAGAACTTCGTGAAGCCTCTTTTCGTATTTACATGGAATGGTTCAAATAATAGTTTGCAGTTCATGGCTTCATGCATGCCCATGTAATACAGTCATGTAGACGGTATATAATCAAGTCATGATTTATGCTCGATTTTTTAAACGAAGATGACCTAAAAAATATAATGGGTTAATATACCTTTACTGACTTGATTAGACTTGTTGGAAGAGAGTCCCAGGAGACAGTTTCAGTAACTCTTCGTTTAACAGTCGGCGTAGAAGTAACTGTACCGGAAGTACCATTAGGCTTTGCTGCCAAATTGAGCTTTGGTGGTGAAGTCATTGCAGGCGGTGGTGGTGTTGGTGTTGGTGTTGGTGGTGAAGTCTTATAAAGCTTTGGTGGTGAGTTTTTTTCAGATGCAGACTCCTTTTTGCTGTCCTTTGACATTTGCTTCTTCACTACAGCTGAGCCATTCTGACTGGGTGAAGAAGCGCTAGTCTTGCGTGTGTCCTTGTTAATTTCTTGTTTTGCAGAAACTATCTTAGCAGGACTGCGAGATGGAGTATTTGGCCGTTCCTGCAATATTAGCAGCAAATGAAATCAGTAACCATCCTAGAGATGCTTTTGTGCTTCCTATCTTTGTTCATTTTAGAATAAAAGAACTCGAATATAGCAGATGTCATTCAAATACCATTAGTACAATTTTGCTCATCTCAAAGACCCATAGTAAATGGAATGATTCATCACTATGGAAATGCACGGGGATTGTCAAAGACAATATATAGTAAAGGCCATGTTTTGGCTGATAGTAGCATCTTAGTTCAAATGTAAATTAAACCTACGCACTTAAACGTACCTGAGGTTTTGATTCTTGTTTGAATTTTGTCGGAGCTGACTTCTGATTTGCAGAACATATGCTACTTCCTCCATTACTTTTGTCACTATCTATGCTGGAGTTTAGATTGGTAATTTTGCTATTGTTGCTAGATATCCCAAGCATGTAACGTGAAGCTACAACTGCCTTCTGCTCTTTGATGACTACCTTCCTCTGAGAGTTCTCCTTTTCACTTTCAGACAGTTCAGCTGACTTTGTAGCCTTCCGTTGATGAGCCAATGCTTCTGAAATCCCAGTGGGAGTTGACATCTGCATCAAATCCTTTGGATTTCCAATGCAAGGGTTCCTTCCTGGAACAGGTCGAACCCCAACAAGAACTGGGACAGGGATACTAGATTGGACCTTTTCAACATATATGAACTGTCCAAGTTGAAGTTTGTTTGATAAGATGAGTTCATTATCCTCCTTCGATAAAGAAACATACGTTGAGTGCGACGAGTCTGAAACTTTTATAAAGAAACCATGGTCTGGCCAAAGTTCTGAACCAGTGATTGCAGGAACTATGCTAATAACTTGGAGAAGAATGGACCGATATTCTCCACATACTTTCACATCAGAATTTATATTTTTTAGTACTTTTAACAGTACCCCTGGAGTAAGAGATGCCATATCTTCAAGCCAGCTTATTCTTCTTCTTTTTTCTGAAAAAAGGTACCGAATAATAAATCACATATGTTAAAAAAGGGAAAAAAAACATGTAATACTGCTTAACAACACAGTTTGACCACTCACAAAGCATCAGAACTACGAAAGGAAACCATACAGATATTTATTATTTTGAAAAAAGTTAGCGAATAATAAATCACATATGTTAAAAGAGGCCGAGAAACATGTAATCTACTGCTTAACAACACAGTTTGACCACTCTAAAGGAAAAAGGAAAAGAAACAAAATAGTCTTTGACAAAGCATCAGAACCACGAAAGGACACCGTACAGAGATATACTCTAGACCAGAATTCTAGAGTCCCAAGACAAGAACATTTGCAATCTAGATTTCGCCACATGTCTGAAGATGAACGCAACAAGACAAACACCAAAAGGACACGTAGAACCCAAATCACAAGGAGGCCTGAAGCAAAGTTTGTTCTTTTTGGTGATGTACTCCATATTCAATTAGAAATCCCACACATGTCCTTCCGAACAGTCGCCTGCAACAGCAGCATATCCAACTAGAGAAGTCCAATCACATATCTTCCAATGCACATCACAGAGAGACCTTAACTGAACAAGCGAAAGCATTAGAAGAAAAGAAATTGACTTTATGAATGTTTCTTAGCTTTCCAGCAAAGCTTTGTAGGGCCCATCAACTAAAAACGCAACTAATAATTCTTATGAAGCTCTTCATGGCCAGGTACGTGGACACCTAAAAGGCCAAAAGCTACCAACTTTCCCATTTCCCATGCCTCAATTCCTTAGGGAGAGGCTGTGAGAAATGCACTGCCTAATTCATGGAAGAAGACACCATCCTATATGGGTTTCTTCATTTCTTGACTTAATGGCTACTAGGAAAGGAGAGACCTAACAAGCCAAGAAACGGCAATTCTTGGGAGGGATGAGCATTTTGGTCAGAATACAACTCCTAAATCTACAACGCCCAACATTTGTAGAGGGGCTCTTAAACCAACTTCTGTTAGTTATTTGGCACAGAAACGATATTTAATGTCTCATACAGTCACTTGCACGAAAATTTCCATGAGAAAAAAATTCTCCAGCAAAATTGTCCTTGTCGGAGGTCTTTGGTCTCCAAACTAAGTGAAGGCGTTGATTGACATAGTACCTTGAGGTTACCAAGAAGGAAAGCAATCCTAGTACGCGAAACAAGAAACCGAAAAAAAAGCAAAGGACTAAGTTACACCTCCTTGTTGAGGAAAGAATTTCTTAACCGAAGGATTATCCCAGAAAAGAAAAATTACGAAAGCAAGACGCAAGAGAACTTAAAATAATCTATCCACAGCCTTCTCTAAGAACTTCCATTTACCCAATCCGCGTGGTTTTCCGCCCTTTGGTCCGAGAACAAGAACCAGGGCGCACCAACAGAACCATCAAGAAACAGCCTAATAATCCCTCAATTGAACAAGAACACTTCTTTCTCGGCCACAGGAGGAGAAACCCGGCATCAAATTCGTGCAGCGAAAATCGAAACAGGGAGGCAGCTGTTTTGGCTGCGGCATTCCATCGAACAGGTGGTGGGGTGGGGAGGGGAGGAGGGAGACGATTAGTATACCTTTCGGCCGCGCGGAGTCGGATGCTCGGAGCAGAGGAGAGGTCGAGAGGAGACGAGAGGAGGACGGAGTCGGCAAGCGGCGGTTGTGCTCTCCCGAGGAGGAATAAAAAGGGGGCGACGAGGTAGTAGACGACACGAGGCGACCAACTGCCCGTATAACTGTCTCTGACACCTCGGGTCAGATCCCCCGGCTCTCCGCGTGGCGGCCGCACGTTGCTGCTAGCTCGCACTGACGCGCGGGCCCGACTTTGTGCTGGTCACTCACACGTGGACCCCACGGACCCTCGGGCCCACATGTCAGTGGGGACAACGTGTGGGGTGGGAGGGAGGTCCCGATCCCCGGGGCGAGCTCGGAACCAAACGCAGAACCGGTGCGGCGTCCGCGTCGCAGCCGATGGGCGGTCAGCCCGCCACCGCGCGCGCCACGCCAATGCCATCCCTCGCCGCGGCCGGCGGCAGAGGCAGAGGCAGCCAGTTATTAGGCCATACCGCCGCGCGCGTCAAGGCTCGCATGCGTCCACGGCCGCTTCGCCTTCGCGCCCGCGCGTGCCCACTTCCACCGTCTTCCGCGAGGTCGCGTGCACGCGCGCGCGCATATCCGATTGCGTTTGCGTGTGCCCCCCCAAGCGCGCGCGGGGCTGCGCGGTCGACAGGTTGACCCGGGCTCGGCTCGGGTTGGGTTGGTTGGTGGGTGGCTGCGACGACGCGAGTTCATCCGCGCATGTTCGCGGCGCGCTTTCTTCTACCGATCGTTTCGCTTTGTTTTAGTGGAGGCCACGGGGGGTTTTCATGGCGATCGACGTGACGGGAAAAGATTTTTCAGTGCAAAAGCTCGTGCCGGACAGCTGCTTGAATTTTGCAACGAGATTAAGGGAGTAAAGTAATCACTCCAGAACCCAGTAGTAGCAGTAGTAGTAGTAGTAGTAGTAGTAGTAGTAGTAGTAGGAGTAGTACCGAACTGCCGATAATTGGGTATACAAACATCTGTTCTACTACCGAAATAGTAACTACCGTCTACCAGTTGTTGGGTTGGTACTTAGGCCGTTAGGCGTAGGGAGCATTTGGTAGATAATAAATGGAGATGGTACTGTATACTATATATTTGTCCATCATGCCGTAGCAGGTTAGGATAAGTGTTTAACGGCATCACTCCATTAACGGCTTCACCAAGAATTATGAGCTGTAGGTGCTTATATTCAGCCTAAAGCTGAAGAAATTGGACCCTGCAATAAGGGGCAATTGGCTTCACCAAGAATTATGGGCTGTACTTATATTCAGGCTAAAGCTGAAGAAATTGGACCCTGGCACCCTGCAATAAGGGGCAATTATTTTCACGGATAAACGAGGACCTAAACCTCTGACCTCACAAAATTGAGAGGCCCAGAGGGGTTGAATCAGCAATCGTGCTGTGACGAAATGTCAGCCTCTAGAGAAAACGACACTTTATTCCCTACTCTCATTTCTGCAGCGGACGAACAGGTTGCTTGTTTAAGGGTTAAACCGTTTTGTTACAGCATTAGTCAGCTTGGAGATAATATCACATATATATTGTATAATCTACAGATTTATATATGCTATTAAAGACAGTTGGTACTCCATATATTTCTAGTTAAAATGGATTGCATCAGACAATTAATTAATGCAATAATCTCCTTTGGACCTCAACAAGTACTACTAGCAGCATGAACCCCACTTCAAATGAAATATCATAATCTCTGTTCAAGACAAAGACATTTTTATCGTGCTTGTGCAAGATGTTTGTTGAATTGGCTAATGCAATCTGCTTTTGGTTCCTCATAATGCTAAGCACTACCGTGAAATTTTTTTAAAAAAATACTGTGAGTGTGAGCAAACCACCCAATTATTGGAACAGCTCCACCATCCAGTCATCCACAACCCAGGTTGCTCAACAAATCCATCTCAAGGTGATGGCATGACCAAATCAATTCGCTTAACTAATGCCATCAAAAAAGCAGCTCGCAGGTCTTATCAGAGAGGATTTCTCATCTTACTTCGCTGCAATCTCTCCCCCTCATAATATTTTCTCCCCATTTTGCCGCATCATTGTCAGGTATCGAGAGTTCATATATGGTCAACATGGACATTCCATCTAATTCGTATACTTCTGCATATTTTTATTAATGTCGTGGTCTTGGTAACATCACCGGAAAAATTATATATTGACACACATATAGTGGAACAATCATCACTTAATCAGCATATCCCAAGCAACCTAATTAAGAAATCATTCCAAAAAAATACGGCATAATATCCGTCATTTATATATTGACACATATAGTGGAACAATCATCACTTAATCAGCATATCCCAAGTCACTAATTAAAACCAAAAAAATATGTCATAGTATCCAAATTACTTAGCACACTGCAAACATTGGGGCTTTACTGTTTTGACATTTCGAGTGGATGATAAATGGACCCATCTGTATCTATGAAATATGGGTCTAGTATCATTATAACAAAGATTAATATTTGCAGTGTTATAATTGCAAATCCCCCAGCAACGAGATAACCTTTTTTTTTTTTTTACTTGAACGCTTGTGCCTCCGTCTCCGCCTTCACCATGGCAGCGTAGAGGCCGTCGCCGTGGCCGGCGAGGAGGGCGTCATGGCCGCCGAACTCGACGACCCTGCCGGCGCTGACGACGGCGATGCGGTCGGCGTCGCGCACGGTGGAGAGGCGGTGCGCCACGGTGATCGCCGTGGCGCGCCGCGAGGCCCTCCTCAGGGCCTCCTGCACGTGCCGCTCGGACTCCAGGTCCAGCGCGCTGCTCGCCTCGTCCAGCAGCAGTATCCTCGCCTGCTTCACGATCGCCCGCGCGATCGCGATCCTCTGCTTCTGCCCACCTGACAACTGCACCCCACTCTCCCCAACCTAAGCAAAACAAAGAAATTTTAGTTCAACAATTCAACTGAAATTCACCCAATAATCATTTCAAAATGGTAGTTTAGAGTAAATTTTACAAACCACACGTATTATGGTCCAAATTACACAAAACTTCATAGATTTTGGCATATGGCATAGAACTTCACGTATCATGATTAAGTTTCACAAAACCACACTATTTAATTCTACAATCACATATCAATTTTATAAGGATTCTATCCATCATATAAATGTTACACCTGCATTTTAAAATTTTGATATAGGATTGTATCAGAAATGGTTAACGGTGTGGTTTTATCAAATATTAGTACCATAGTATTTAGGGTTATGTGTCACGTGTCAAAATATTTACGGTTTTATATAACTTGGATAATTTATTTTTTTACGTAACTTGGATGTTTTATGGAATGTACTCTATAATTTATGAAGATATTTGAATGCTTAGATTTGAAATTTTTAGTAGTTAACCTGGGTTTCGTAGCCTTGGGGGAGGGCGGAGATGAACTTGTGGATGTTGGCCTCCTTGGCGGCCTCCTCGATTTCGGCCCACGAGGCCTTTGGGTTGCCGAACCCGATGTTGTCTCGGATGGACCCGCTGAAGAGGGCCGGCTCCTGGCCCACCATGGCGCACTCGCCGCGGAGCCACTTGAGGTCAAGCTCCCGCGCGTCCACGCCGCCGACCACCACCTTCCCGTCGCCCGGGTCGTAGAACCGCTGCACCAGCCACACCACCGTCGACTTCCCGCTCCCGCTCGCGCCGACCACCGCCACCGTCGTGCCGGCCTTCACCCGCAGCGAGAAGCCGCTCAGCACCGTCACCTCCGGCCGCGACGGGTACGCGAACGTCACCTTCCGGAGCTCCACGTCGATGGGCTTCCCGTCCTTGATCGTGATCCTTCGCTTGGTGGAGTCTCCGGTGATCGCCGGACGTCGCTTGAGGATGGTTAGTATGCCGGCGATGGCCGCCGGGGCGCCGGAGGTGTCAGGGGCGAGGCCGGCGAGCTGGCCGACGGAGAAGGAGCTGAGGACGAGGATGAGGAAGATCTTGGACACGTCGCCGAAGGTGGACACGCCATTGTTGATGAAGTGGGCGCCGGCGCAGAGCGTCGCCGTGTAGGCGCCGTACATGGCGCCCTGGGAGAGCCCGAGGATGACGCCCATGAGCTGCGATCTCCGGCTGGCCTTGGCCGCCGGCCCGTCCAGCGCGCGGTTGAACGTGCCGACGACGCTGCCCTGGGCGCAGAGCGCCGCGACGGTGCGCACGTTCGACACGGCGCCGGCGGCGATGCCGCTGGCGCGGGCGTACGCGCCGTCGTCGGACCTGGCGCCCACGTTGATGAGCAGGTTGAGGTAGCTGGCGCCGAGCGTCAGCGGCGTGCACGCCGTGGCCACCAGCGTGAGCCGCCAGTCCAGCCCGAAGCAAATGCCGAGCCCCACGCCGGCCGAGCCGACGGCCATGAGCAGCACGGCGTAGCGGTCGCCGAACATGGAGCGGAACGCGACGGCGTCCCGCGCGAGCCGCGTCACCAGGACGCCCATCGCGTTGTCCTCCTCGTCGAACCACGCGGGCTCCTGCCGCATGATGGCGCGGAAGAGGCGGTCCCGGACGCGCATGGTGAGCCGGGCGCCCGCCCAGCCGCACAGCCCCTGCTGCCCCGTCATGGTCAGGATGCAGGCCACGCCGAGGCCGACCACCGCCATGGCCAGGTACTCCACCTGCCGCTTCATCCTCGCCGTGTCGGCGTCGAAGTACACCTCCACCGCCTGGCCCAGCAGCAGCGGGAACACCGAGAACACCGCGCCGGCGTGTATGCCCATCAAGAACCCCAAAATCAGCAATGGACCTTCCCGCCGCTGCAGCCTCCATATCTCGGAGACCCTCACCTTGGCGTCCTGCGAATCCTTCTTCTCCTCCTCTTCTCGAATCGTCTGGAAGCCGTACCTCGACTTGGACACCGACACGTCGTACCCCGACTCGTCGGTGAAGCTGGTGTACGCCGCTGCAGCGCCGGCGAGGTCTGGCCTGGCGCCGCCGCTGTCGGAGGCGAGGCTGACCAGCGCGGAGTAGGGCCCGCGGCGGGCCATGAGGTCGGCGTGGCGGCCGGACTCGACGACGGCGCCGCGGTCGAGCACCGCGATGGTGTCGGCGTTGCGGACGGTGGCGAGGCGGTGCGCGATGACGACGACGGTGCGGCCGGCGGCGAGGCGGTCGATGGACTGCTGCACCACGGCCTCCGACTGGGTGTCCAGCGCGCTGGTTGGCTCGTCCAGCAGCAGGATGCGCGGGTCGCGGATGATGGCGCGCGCCAGCGCGATCCGCTGCTTCTGTCCCCCCGACAGCTGGGCCCCACGGTCCCCAACCTAATTAACACACATATTATATTATCTATGATTAATTAACAGATAATCCGTGAGATTAATGGTTGATTAGTTTGTGTGTGTCAGTGTGACCTGAGTGTCGTAGCCGTCGGGGAGGGCGAGGACGAAGGTGTGGACGTTGGCCATGGCGCACGCCGAGATGGCGTCGTGGCGCGTGGCGTTCTCCTTCCCCATCATGACGTTCTCGATGATGGAGGTGGAGAAGAGGACGGGCTCCTGCCCGACGAGCCCGATCTGCGACCGGAGCCACCGGAGGTTCAGCGACGCGAGGTCATGGCCGTCCAACGTGATCGACCCTGCACACCCCACGGACGCAAAAGCTTCGTCATCGATCACCGACGATCTCGCCATGGTCGTGCTCTGCGTGCGCGTCAATGGCCATTCCCTCTCACCTCGAGTCGGGTCGTAGAAGCGCTCGATGAGCGCGAACATGGTGGACTTGCCGCCGCCGCTGACGCCGACGAGCGCCAGCGTCTTGGCGGCGGGGATGACCAGGTTGAGGTTGTACAGCACCATGGCGTCCGGCCGCGACGGGTACGCGAACTCCACGTCCTTGAACTCCATCCGCCCCTTCACCGCCGGCAGCGCCCGCCCGCCGGCGCCGTACGCGTCGATCTCCGGCACCCGGTCGATGACCTCGAACACCCGCCCCGCCGCCACCGTGCCCTGCGCGAACTGCGCCATGTACGACAGCGTCAGCGCCAAGCCCCTGCACACACACACAACCATTCCGAGATCAGAGATCACCACCACACCAACCACGAAACTCCGGCGACCGGCGCCATTGACGACAACAAGAAGCGGTGCGAGGAGGTTGATGTGCGTGCCTTCCTCCGACCATGACGCCGAAGAAGCAGGCGATGGCGTCGCCGCCCTTGATCTCGCCGTTGGCGACGAGCCTGGAGCCGTACCAGAGCGCCAGCGCCCACTGGGAGTAGGTCACCAGGTAGATCACCCCCATGCCGGCGCCCTTGGCGAACCCCATCTTGACGCCGATCGGCGCCGCCTTGTCCAGCCACTCGGCGTACTCGCCGGCGAGCCGCTCCTCCATGACGAACGACATCACCGTCCTGATCGAGCTGATCGCCTGCTGCGCCACGTCGCCGGCACGCTGGTACGATGCCTACCAAATTCCATCAAATTGGTTTCAAACTTTCAATTCATCAAATTTGGTTTCAGTATAAGAGCGAGAGAGTGAGTGGCCGGCTGCTAAACCTCTTCCTTGGCGGTGAGGCCGCCATAGATGGCCTTGTAGGCCATGCCGCACGCCATCATGGCAGGCGTGACGGCGAAGACGGCGAGAGCGATCCTCCACGATTTGGCGAAGCCGACCACGTAGCCGAAGACGAAGGTGAAGACGTGGTGCACGAATCCTGGAATCTTTACAAAATGTGCACAAGATTTTAGTCATGTGTCAGCTTTTGAACATATGTGTTTGGGGGTAAATTTTGTGTGTGCGCTCTACCTTCTCTCCCATGACTTCTTGGATTTGGGCGACATCGCCGGAGATGCTGTGCATCACCTCGCCGGTGCTCACCTCCGTGTCGAAGAATCCGATCTCCTGCCTCAGCACCGCCTTCAGGTACTCTCGCCGCATCCGCAGCGCCGACCTCTCGCCGATGATCCTCCAGCAGGTGATCTCTGATCGCACATAATTAGAAACTCATAATTCGATTCAAGAGATTCCCAGGAATTGAACTTTTTCATGATTAATTTGCAAAAATGCTCACCAAGATAGGCTCCTACGACGACAACTGCAGCAAGGAACGCCATGTACACACTAATCTGGCATCGAACAAGAAACGAAGATGAGAAGATCGGATTTGAATCGAAGCTGAGAAATCGAAGAAATGATCATGGCGATGCACGCGGCGAGACCTGCTTGACGTCCTTCATCATCTGCGTCTTGTCGACGTTGACGATCTTGTTGACGAAGTTACCGAACAGGTAGGAGTACCATGGCAGCGAGCCGCCGTTGATCATGGCGCCGACGCACCCGAGCACGAGGAGGACGATGTCCATGGCCGTCGAGTACTTGAAAAGCCCCGCGACGCCGACGGGCTTCCCGACCCTCACGTCGATCTCGTCGTCGTCGTCGTCGTAGTCGCCGACGGCGTCCTCGTACCGGCTCTGGCCGCTGAAGGACGCGACGCTGATGTCGTAGCCGAAGCTGGGCGGGTCACGCCGCGCCGCGGAGACGTAGAGCTGGTCGTGGTTGTCGCGCGAGAAGGAGACCTCGCGGGAGGCGGCGGCGGCGGCGTTGGTGTCGCTGTACCTCACCATGGCTCGTCCTCCTCGGCCGGCGTCATGGCCGGGCGCGGAGTAGACGGCGGAGTCGGCGACGACGACGCTGTCGTCGTTGCTGGCGAAGGAGGTGTTCGGCACCACGACGATGGCGCGGCTCGCGTCGGTCACCACGCTCTGCAGCTCCAGCCGCCTGCCGCCACCGCCGCCGGCGGCGGCGGCGACGGGCCTGTGCGCCGACGAGGAGACGTCGCGGTAGCGCGGGCGGGCGGACCGCCTCGACACGTAGTACTCCCTCGCCGTCCGCCGGAACAGCGCGGGGCCACGGCGGCCGGCGCTCCCCATCCTGGCGGGCGCCCAGGGCCCGACGGCGGCGCCGAGGCCGTGGGGCTGCGCCCACGACGTGTCCGGCTGCCAGGACACTGAGCTCTGCCACGACATGTCGTCGACGACCACATCCCGGCGCCGCGGGCCGCCGCGCGGGGAGGGGGGGAGCCCGGCGGCGAAGGAGGTGGAGCTGTCCGGGACAGAGTAGGGGCTACCTCGCCGGCGGTGGCGGCCGCCGCCTTGCGGGCCGGAGTGGGAGAAGGAGAAGTCGTCCATGCACGCACGGTGGCGAGCACCTGGTGGGCGTGGTGTTCGATAAAAAAGGGTGTAGCTTCTGATGCGCGCGGCTTTGGACGGCACCGGCGGGAGGCGGCCCTCGGATTCGACACTGCGCGCTGTTTCGTTGGATCGTTTCGCGCGAGATAGCCAGCCCGACCGTGTCCGGGCGAGCTCTGAGCCTCTCGACTTTGTGAAGATTTTTTTATGATGGATTCCTAGTACTTCTTTCAGGTTTTAATATGTGACGTTGCTAATTTTTTTTATACATTTGATCATTCGTCTTATTTTAAAAAATAGATTAAATTTCAGAAAACTACAATTTTAGTTACAAAACTATCGATTTGCTACAATAATAACGTAAGAACTTATCACAATACTACAATGTTTACATTATATGCTACTACAGTATATATAGGTGACAACTGTAGCAAATAACGTAAAAGTTTCAGTTTTGTGATAATTTCACACACTGTTGTTGTAGCAAACTAAAAAATATCGTTAATGTTATAGCAAACCGATAGTTTTATCACTAAAGTTGTAGTATTCTGAAATTTATTAAAAAAATATTTAATTATTATTTATTTTGTGGTGAATTGATTTATCATCAAATATTATTTAAGCGTGACTTAAATACTTTTATATTTGCATGGAAATTTTGAATAAGACAAATGACCAAATGTTTGTCAAGAAAGTTAATGACGTTATATATTAAATCTGACAATCTGCTCGTGTCTTTGAGGTATAAATCTGACATTGCTTTCAGAGGAAAAAAAAACTTGATTTGATTATTCACTCTTCTTTTTTTTCTGAACTGATAATTATGTGCTGTACTCTCTTTACAGTTCATCTCTGCAGGAGTAAATCTATGGCAATTTTTGAGTCATTGCATACCTAGTCTAAACTAAATATACACAGAGAAAGAACGACACCTTCGACAAATGGAGGTAGAAACTTGTTAGGCTTCATGTATTTGGTTTGGAGGTAGCGTTTGTGTATTTTTGTGATGTGGATTCATCAGTAAACATGTAGAGTCTGGAAGGGATGAAATGGTATTTTGATGTGACCAAAGCTGTCAACGCCAACGAATTAACAGCTTATTAAGGCCATCTTTTCCATCGGCTGCAATTTGTTTGATTGTCTCAGGAACAGCGATCATCAAATTCGTCAGAAACACCCATGACAGACCAGGAGAGCAATCCAAGAACATCCTTCAGAGCTTCACCGAAGAACTGAACAACACATCATTTTCTTATCTTATTCCTATCTTTTGTTCCCATTTTGACGCCGTCTCATTTCTTGATCTCTACCGCGTACTGTAGATCGTGTGTGTGTGTGTGTGTGTGTGATAGTGCGTAATACGATGATTTGGACAGGAGAAGTAGAAGTATTTGCTAGTACCTGTACTTCAAATTTCAGTTTTGTTTCGTCAGGTGGTTGTGGTTGTGCTTCTCTTTTTCATATTATGTTTTTGCAGACGTGGAGTAATTCAGACAATGGTACGCTCGTCAACGCTGAAACCTGACTGCAAAATAGTTTGATTGTCTTCTGTACTGAACTTGTTCCAAATGGCAAGGAGACAACATAGTTCATCAGCAGTGGGAAATCGTCTTCCTTTGAGTAATGCAGGCACATGGATTTGATTATCTGGTTAGGTAATCAGTAACCACAGACGTCAGTCAGGTTGTGGAAATATGGCTATCCAAAACATGTAGCATTCTGAAAGTACCTTTTTCTTTAAGAAAACATTTTCTAGCAGTGGTACTACTATGAGAGTAATAGAAGATCCTAATAAGGAAATTCAAATAATCCACCACGCCAACACTGAAAATTGGAAACAGTGAGAGCATTAGATTAAAAGAGTGCATGGTTGAAGTGGCCATTTGGCAGCGAAGCAATTGAAAGCTTCTGCAAAATCACCAGAACTACGAACTGTATGTCTGTATATACTACATCACATATGCTAATAATACAACCTTATTTTAGGCCAATAATCAGACTTATGTCTTAGCGGGTACTTCCTCCAAGGTCCAACAGCGTTTAAACTCTGAACGTAGTTTCCTGAAAACTATTGAGCTTGTATATTTGTGATGCTACGAAATATGAATTAGAATTTACAAGGGAGATGTAAAGGTAGAGACTAGAGACTGTTTCGATGTCTTGTGTCATTGTCTTTGGAATAACAGAGCAAAAAAGTTTTTGGAAGACAAGAACAGGGCAAAAGCGCCAGTTCTGTTTTTCATAAGAAACCTGTTTCATGGTTCAGGCGAAAATTTCCAATAAACTGCTGCTGCTGAATCCCTGCTAAGGGAGCATAACCCTGTAAAACAACCAAAAGTCAGAAAGGCAAATTAAAAAAATCTTCCATATAATCATGAGTCTAATTTACTTATATTGAGTGTTCCAATTAATAGATACTTCCTCCGTTCCACAATGTAAGTCATTCTAGCATTTCCCACATACATATTGATATTAATGAATCTAGATAGATATATATGTCTAGATTCATTAACATCAATATGAATGTGGGAAATGCTAGAATGACTTACATTGTGAAACGGAGGGAGTACTAATCTTCTGTATATCTAAAAGCCAGAAATGCACAAAAAGATGTGAGCGTATTCTTTTGTCACCAGTGGTCTCAAATCGTATACAACCATGGAATGTGGCGATCTTGAGAATATTTTTCTAACAAAATTTGAGTGCATACAAACTTAATGGATTGCTTGCCTCAGAAGGCGGTGCATACAAAATACTATGAGAAGAGCAAAAGCACCAATATTGCTTTTAGAAATTAAGTATTGCACAAGTGAGTTCAGTTCTACCAAGGGGTCTTACCTGACTTCCCTGTGCACCTCCATGAAGGGCCTGCTGGTGGGAGTTAGAAACAGAAGTGTCCTGTAGTTGATCACGCATATTGAACCTCAACCTTTACTAAGGATAAAAAATAAACTTAATGAATAGTTATATTTGATCAACTTACATGGTTAAGCTCGTTATTTGATTGCACATGTTGTGGATCTATAAATGGCACGGGAACATTCAAATAAGAGCTGGGAATTTGTGAAACTCCTCCATTCAGAAGTTCTTGATTGCCTGTACTTGCAGACTTGACATCCTTCTTCCATCTTTTCATGAAATATTTTTGTGGTAACTCCTTTATATTTCTGAAATCTAGAACTTTCAACACATGGCAACACTGGATACCCATTGCTTCAAATTTTTTACAACTGCATACAACAGATAAGTCGCCAGAGTCAAACCTAACATAGTGTTCCCCAGGCCTATCTGTTACTGCTACTCTATATTCGAATGCATTTCCATCCTCTCCACAGCTATAAATCACGGAATCGACAAACATCTCAAACTCCCTGCGAAAAATTTCAAAGACCACTGGTGTGTACATGTTAGCAGCCTGTCTCAGCATTTTGGATGGAGGAATTCTAGGGAAGCTTTGGCTTGCATGAAAATCAGCTTGTAACTCTGCATAACGAAACTCATCAAGCATTCTTTCATAGTGCTTAAAGAAAGATAACAGGTCAAATTGTGGACTCAAGGACTTCTTCAAGGCATTTCTAACACTTTCCGACTGCAAAGAACTTTTTATATCTGCAGTGAATACATGGCGATTGTATACTGGAGACCATTTATCACGATCATCAAATATTTTTTTAATCCACTCATTGTTTCGTAGATCATACTTCTCTAGCATAGTATTCCATCCAAGCAAGAAGTTCTCTTCATCATCGTAGTCATAAACGCATTTTCCGAAATCCTTTGCAAATGTTTTGGAGCCTTGAAAGATGTGATTAAGGTGCTTGACAGAGTTTTGGTACACTTGCCATGGACAAAGGCGATGAACTGTTCCAGGCCATGCTGCTGTTATCGCAGAAGCCGTAGTTGCTGCCATAGACCAATCTGTCAAGATTGTTTTTGGTTGCTTTCCATTTGCAGCAATCTTGAATGTATCAAATAGCCACTTGAAAGACTCTTCTGATTCATCATAAAGCAAGGCAGCACCAAATATGGAGATTTGCTTGTGGTGGTTCACTCCAAGGAATAGTGTTAATGGTCTGCTATGTTCATTTATCTTGTAGGTTGTGTCCAAACAAACCACGTCACTGTAGTAGCTGAAGTCGGTTCTAGATTTGGAATCGGCCCAGAAAATGTTTGTCAGTTTGTCATCCTCATCAAGCTGGACAGCATAAAAGAAAGAAGGGTTGCTTAGCTGCATGCTTTGCAGGTACTTTACAGTTACTCCTGCATCACCAGGTTGCATATTTTTCTTGCGCTTTGAACAAAGAGAGCACCTGTATTCTGCAGGGAGAAAATTGGTATGTCTAATTACTTCTGCTTGCTTCACCAAAGAGCAACTAGAAAACCTTGATGGTGTCGCTGATTCTTCTGAGGAGTCTGCTTCAGTTGTTTGCAGCTCAGTGAGTACTCTCTGAGACCTCAGCATATGCATGGTTGATGGGGGTGCTGGCTGATGGTTATGATCTGGTACGAATTCAGATATACGATATTTACCATCAGATGTAATCTTAATTGACATTCGTGCAGGACACCCTATTCTTGTTTCTGGCCGTGGTCTTTTAACTTCCTTAGCTCCTTTCTTGTCCTTACGAAAACCTTCTCTCGAGCATACAAAGGTTCTTGACCTTGTGATGTTTTCAGCTGATTTGTCCGATGAACTTTTACGAACACTGAATCCCACATGTCCAGCGTACCTGTTGTAGAACTCATATGCTTTATCTTCGTCATCGAATTCCATGCTAAGTTCTGGAACCATTTGTGCAAACATGGCATTATCCATGGGGGTATCAGAATCAATAACTTTTCGCACTTTTCCCTGCATGTAGAAAACCAAAACGACTTACATTTGGAATTGGAGCGAGTATAAACAAGAAGTGGTGGAGAACAATTAGAATACCTTTGCCCATGCTATACCACAAGCATTGCATAAAGTTCTCCGTCCCTCTGGTCCACGGCGCATATGAGGCGTCGCATTTGCACTGATGCCACAACGTAGACATCTGAAAAACTATAACATAAAAGTTAGGAATCGTCTCACTACCATGAATAATTGAGTCCTTGATTCAAGAGAAAATGATCTGTATCAATTTCCAGCATGCTGCTGAATGTTGATAGTACTGAGTAGTATAGTAGTCACCAACCTGCTAAGTAGTCAGTGTGCAATACTAACATTCCACCATATGCATGGACCGACAGACAGCCTTTGATAATTTTATTGCTTTCATAACCCGATCTGAGAAAAGGCATTGATGATCAGCTACTACTCCCTCCGGACGGAAATATATGATGTTTCAGGTAGTGGAATTGATTTGCACTTAGTAGTATTTCCCTGTCTGAAACGACAAGTAATACTGACTTGAGGAAGTGTTACTCTTCTAAATTTGAATCCGGTCTCGCTTAACCATAACTACAGAAGACTAGAATTGGGAAAAGAAAAGAACTGCAAAAGGGTACTAAATAGTACTAACATCCAGAGCTCTCTTCTCTCGTGATATCTCGTACTCCCTCCGTCTAATAATATAGCAACTTAGTACTGGATGAGACATTTCAATATTTCATAGTACAATAAATCTAGACAAGAGCATGTTAGATTTATTGTACTATGAAATGTCTCGTCCGTTACTAGGTCACTATATTATGGAGGGACGGTTTCAAAAAAAAAAAACTATATTATGGAGGGTAGGCCCTAGCTACAGTTATAACTAGCTTGGCACGTTAGCTTTTCACCCAAACATTGCACATATGAAATCTCGATGCTGAACTGCTGAATGTAGGATACGGTAAAAATAAAAAAGAAAGAAAAATTCTTCACCTGGTAAGCTCATCCACTGTGACCCTGCCACCATCTTCACCCTCACCGGCACCAACATGAACATCTCCCCCGTCCTCGAACTGCATCGCTTACAAACCACAACGAACCAGGAAATACCAAGCTTTCTTCAAAACTCCGCGCGGGATTCTGCGAGCAAATCTTCTAGCGCTGAGCAAACCCGAAGCAAAGCAATCACGACAGAAAGATCAAACACCGTCCGAATCCCTTCTCCCCGAGATGAGCTCAACTCCAGCCACATCGAATCCCAAATCCACCCAGCACAAAACCTTACTCCAGAAGGATCAGATCGTTGCTCAGACAGAGATTCCTTCCATAACCTTTGCCCCCACCGAAATCGACGGGCTCCATTGCAGAAGTCGAAATCTGCCAGGTTTTTTTCTAAAAGAGCGCCGCCCAGGAGCAGATCCTGGCACGAGGTGCGCGAAATGGCGGGAATCGGCGCGGGGATTGGTTGGATTCGGGGGTTTAAAGCTAGGGTTTAGCGTGGGGGATCCGGATTGGGATTTGGTGCGGGAGGTTGGATACCGGAGGCGGAGGAGATGCGAGTGACGAACGCTCTCTGCTTGCCACGAGAGCCGCCTCCCCTCGTTGTGGGGCGAGGCAGCTTGGTGGGCCGCTTGGGCTCAACTCGGGTAGTTGGGCCGTAAAGAGCAAAAGCTGTCTATGCCGTCCAAGAGGGATTATGGGCCGGAAAGCCGTTGGTGGGCTTATGGGTCTGATGAGCTGGCGGATAAAGTCTAAGTTTCTAGTCCGATCTCAACTGTCAGTATCATGTACTTTCAAAATATATAATCCTTTAAACATTTGTACTTTTTTTAGAAAAAAATGCTTAGAGTTTAAATATGAATATTTACAGTGACAGATATTTTAAAATGGAGACGGAGTGAGTGGATTGTGTGTGCGATTTTCTTTGGAGGAAAATTCGGATTGTGTGCCAAGGCAAATTACCTGTAAAAATAGCCGAAAACTTAGTAAAGTTGGTGATGCAACGTTGTCTTTCTTTTATTGCGTGGTAACGTATATACACACGTCACTGCATACGTAACATCGTACTCATACACCCATGTTCAATGAAGCAGAAACTAGCGAGACATCCTAAAATTTTATTAAAACTTGAAAGTCCATCAGTTTCAAAAATATTTTGGGGTTGGAACGGAAATATGCTAGGGCCATATGGTATTATGGCAAGTCGTCTCGTTTCCATTTTAACATTTTTAGCTTACTTTTAATTCTTATAGGCATATGGGACAAGGAGCTATAAACTTGTAACTTGGACGTTTATAGCTTGATCATAACATTGGTGCTAAGAATTTTAACTATAAACATTATAGTTTTATGATAATTTTATTGTTAAATATGTGGTTTTGTAATACTTAATCTTAAATCAATAGTTTTGTGACAAATTCAGTGTTAAATCTATAATTTAATAATACAACATCTTAAATGTGAAGTTTTGTGATAGTTTGATAAAAATATATTAAGTTTTGTAAAAATTACTCTATTAAAAAAAGGAAATGTGTGCTATGCTCCCTATCTTGCTAGTCCAGGGACCAAATAAAACACATATACTTGAACAACTATCAGTCCATTGCAGCAACACTTAATAAACAGCCACCAGGTTAATTCAAGTAGCATATGACAGTATAAATAATAGAATCAAACGTAGATAAGTTCACATATCACCGAACTCGCGTACACTGGTTCAGTACACATGTCTCGCACAACTTTTATGGTAGTCTATGGCTCATAAACCGACTTGCTAATACACCAACACAAATTAATCAAGCTTGAACCTTAACCGGCATCGCATGCCGATCCCGTCTTTTGACGTTGCAGTAATTTTCCGTTCATTAGCCTCTGCATACTTACCACTGCAGCTTAAGCGTTCATGCGAGCCGGGTACTGCTCGACGCAGTCCAGCCACGGGCTGCGCGCCGGGCGGCGCACGCGGCGGACGGCGCGCCACACGGCGCTGTTGCACTTGAACCCGGAGCCGAAGGCGAGCTGCCACACGCGGTCGCCGCGGCGGACGCGGCCCTTGGCCTCCAGGTACGCCAGCTCGTACCAGATGCTGCTGCTCGACGTGTTGCCGAAGCGGTGGAGCGCGGCGCGCGACGCCTCCAGGTCGCCGTCGCGGAGGCCCAGGTTGCCCTGCAGGTGCTCCAGCACGTCGCGGCTCGCCGCGTGCATGCAGAAGTGCTCGAACGCGCGCTTGAAGTCCGGGATGTAGGGAGCGGCGGCGGAGGCGTCGCCGTCGGCGGACGGCGGCGGCGGGGCGGAGGTCTTGGACGGGAACAGGTGGCGGAAGAGCACGCCGGCGAAGAAGAGGATCTGCTCCGAGAACGGAAGCACGAGCGGGCCCAGGGTGGTGATGTTGGTCTTGAGCGCGTGGCCGCCGACCTCCACGAGGTCGCGGCTGATGGACAGGCCCTTGATCCGCTGCTCGTCCTCCTCCTGGTACACCGACCGGAAGCTGCGGTCGTCGGCGCCCTTGTGGGTGCGCACGATGTGCTCGAGCTGGTACTTGGCGCGGTGGAAGTCCCTGCGGCGGTTGGAGAGCAGCACGGCGGCGCAGCCGGCGCGGAAGAAGGCGTTGGGGATGAGCATGGAGCGGCGCTTCCCGGCGTACCAGGTGAAGGAGACGGCCTCCGTGCTGACGACGACGGCGAGCCCCGCGCCGCTGGCCTGGAGCATGTCGCGGGCGAGGTCCACCGCGATGACGCCGGCGCTGCACCCCATGCCGCCGAGGTTGTAGCTGAGGATGTTCCCGCGCATCTTGTAGTGGTTGACGATCATGGCGGACAGCGACGGCGTCGGGTTGAAGAGGCTGCAGTTGACGACGAGCACGCCGACGTCCTTGGGGCGGACGCGGCACTTGTCGAACAGCTCGTCCAGCGCGGCGAACATGGCGGCGGACGCCTCGGCGCGGCCTTCCTTCATGGTGGCGCAGTTGGTGCCCGGCTCGAACACGCAGCGCGGCATGTAGGACTCGTCGCCGATGCCAGACTTGGCCAGCAGCCGCGACTGGAACGCCAGGCTATCCTCGTCGAACTTGCCCGACTTCCTCGCCAGATCGATGAACTCCGCCTTCGACACCTGCAAGCAATTGTCCATGCAAAATCACATCCTTGCTTACAAATCACCAGCTAGTACCATAATGCATCAAACTGATTACAAACTGTAAGTAACAAGTGAAATCGAAGAAATTTCATGCATGCGAACCGGGTAAACTTGGTTGTTTGACTCAAATCCATCGTGCGTGCAAGGATAGTGCAGGTTGTGGTTTGTGTGCTCACGCAAAACATTTTTCGAAAAGAAAATGTGTGCTCACGCAAAACATTTACGGTTTAATAATACGGTTCGGCTCATTGAATGTGTGTGCCCAATCGCCCAACCGTATTTGATGACACGAGCAAGTGAGAGCGATCGACTGATCGAGTCACCGGCTGGCCTGGCCATAACCGAAAGCATCCTACCAGCTCGTCATAACTTCGACCCTGCCCTGCCCATTCACTTCCAAGGACTGGGGCCCAACCAAAGGTGCCTCCTAACTTGCATTCAAGACTCCAACAAAATAATGGTAGCCAACAAACTGTTTTCCAAAACTTAGTGATGTGTAGCATATAAGGGCCTGTTTAGTTCGTGAAAAGAAAATTTTTATATGTCACATCAGATATTTTACCGGATGTCGAAAGAGGTTTTCAGATACGAATGAAAAAACTAATTTCATAACGCGGTTTCGTGAAAAGAAATTTTTTATATGTCATATCAGATATTTCACCGGATGTCGAAGGGGTTTTCGGATACGAATGAAAAAATAATTTCATAACTCGTTTGGAAACCGCGAGACAAATCTTTTGAGCCTAATTAATCTGTCATTAGCACATGTGGATTACTGTAGCACATATGGCTAATTATGGACTAATTAGGCTCAAAAGATTCGTCTCGTGATTTCCCCCCTAACTGTGCAATTAGTTTTTGTAATTTATATTTAATGCTCCATGCATGTGTTCAAAGATTCGATGTTATGTTTTAGGGAAAAAAAATTGGAGAACTAAACCAGGCCTAAGTCTGCAAAGATATAACTAGAGTTTCTTTTGGAGTATCTACTAAGGAGGAGCTTCTTATCAATTTTGGATCTAATATATCATGTAAATACTTTATAATATTCAGTTAATATTTTATTACCATTCCTTTAGTCAACATAGAGTAATCAGGGAAAAAAGCAGTGGTCAAAGACTTTACTTGAGAATGATGGCAGTATTTATACTAAAAGTAACATACAGTACAAGATAACAGAGGCACTCGGGCACAAGGAAAAGCATCTATCTAGTGTAAACTTATTAGGTGTAGAATCAATATATGATAAATGAATTTGATTCATACAAAATAGCACTACCTCCGTTCTTTTTTTTTTGTGCAATTTCTAAGATATTGCTTTGACCATTGCACATTTTACAACGTTGTGTTAGGATATAATCCCTCCGTTTCATGTTATAAGATGTTTTGACTTTGGTCAAAGTCAAACTGCTTCAAATTTAACTAAGTTTATAGACAAATATGAAAAATATGGTAATATTTAAATTAGCAAATTAGTTTTATTAAATTAATAATTAAATATATTTTTATAATAAATTTATCTTCGGTCGAAAATATTACTATTTTTTTATATAAACTTGGTCAAACTTGAAAGTTTGACTTTGACCAAAGTCAAAATATTTTATAACCTGAAATGGAGGGAGTAATAACAAGCGTATACTAAGTATGGAAGTATTTTTTTTATGATGGATCTAATGATATAATTTCTAAAAATTTAATTCAAGATGATTTCAAATATGCCAATGTGGTGAAATCTCAAGGAAAAAAAAAAGACGAATCACACCGGTTCTATCTAGGGCTGTCAAGTAAAATGGAGGTGGTAATCGTATGAGCGTGGCTCGGGTATTTCAGTCAGTGCCGGGCAGATTTGTCAGTGCTCAAATAGTGAATGTGTGCTACATTAAAAGCATTTGAGCTGGTAGTAGCTGGCAAGGATTATGACCGTATTAAAGGACCATGCGGAGTAGTACTAGCTATAGACACCACTATACCAATAGTTATTCACAACTAAAAGCCCAACTGATGATGAGTTTTTTTTTTTTTGTTGTTGTCAATGCAAGTTCATCCAGCAGTTAATACTAAACCCTCCTCCAACAAAGGTAAGTCAGCTAGCTCATAAATCTCCACATCAGCTTTTGTATGATGTGGAAGAGAGAGAAGATAAGGAAAGAGAATGCACTATCTCTTCTTTAAGAGCTAAGCTACTAAAGAAATTGTGAAACCTAAAGCATTTTATACAATGTGCTATGAGACAATCTATGGGAGAGGTAGACTTTTTACTATCTCTTATATGAGGTGGACAAGCATGAGCTAGCTCAACCATTAAAGGAGGCCCAAGGCTTACACGTTCCAAGAGTTTTCTCTTCACACCTCACCTTGAATAGCTTTCACAGTTTTGAGATTTCAGCTACTACGTCCGGTAAATCCAAAAGTATATTTGCAGTTTTAATTTGCGTTGTTTGATTCGTCTCAAAAAAAAAAAAAGAATGGCGCTGTTTGAAAAACAGTTGGCTAGATCACTGAAGGACCATGTGGATTCCATGAATCATGAAATTCGATCCTATGCTAGCTCCATATGAGACCTTCATTTAGTCCTTGAGCACTTTGTATAACGTCAATATATATGTTTTATCCGATCTATCCTTTTGCACCAGAAATATGCTTTTATTGTTTCAGAATAAAACCTTGGCCGATTCAATTTACGTGAGATCTGAAATGTTAGAACGAACAAGTTTCTTGCGCAGTAACAAATCATAGATCCTAGGAGCTTCACACATTGGCATAATATGCTTTCATTTAAACATAATACTAGTAATATAATACTAATCTACTCCGATGAACTACCGAATATGTGTATACGTGATTAAGCATGGAATTAAGTAGTATTACCTTGAGTTCGTCGGCTGGTTTGTAGCAGGCGAAGTCGATGAGGTAGACGGGCCTAGGCCTGGACATGATGTAGACGGAGATGGTGAAGGCGAGGACGGCGAGGAAGGCGAGGACGGTGGCGAGGTCGTAGGTGGCCTCGCCCCAGACCTTGCGCCACAGCTCGTCTCGGCTGAGGCTGCCGACCTCGGCGCCGCAGACGAGCACGATGACCGGGATGGTGGCCAGGTACACGCCGTGGCTGATGAGGTAGTGGTACCCGAGCCGCACGTACTTGAGGTTCACCGACTGGAGGAAGTCCGGCAGCCGCCGCCGCACCCGCACCGAGAACGTCGGCGACCCGGCGTCCGGCCCCGACGGCTCCACGCCGCGGTTCACGATCTCCGTCAACAGCAGCGCCTGCTCCCTCGCCATGGCCGCCTCCTCCTTCACCTTCACCTTCTGCAGTAAATGAGAAGGCAGTGAAGTGATGAGATGATCTCGGAGACTTTAGATATAGGGAGAGCAGTGCAGGGGTTGGGGGAGGAGATGGTGGTGGGTGGGTGGGTGGGTAGATGGCAGTTAATGCCATTTAGAGAGCAAGCCAGGAAAGGTCTGCCTCAATGCATGGTGTTCTTGCATATACATGCATCTGTTTGCTGTGAGCCTGTGCACCATGTTGTAACTGCAAGTACTGGAATCATACTGCTAGCATAGCAAATTCATGGCCACAGCTTTGGCTTAACTGATCACTGACTTTGTAGCAGTAATAACTACTCCTACAGAACATGTGCAAACACCAGCATTGTCTATAAAGAAAAAATGTGCATGGATATGCTGTACTCTCTCTGTTCTTTTCAGCCTATTCACTGAATTATTAAAATGAATTCTTTAACTCCACATTTAAAAAAAAAGTTCACTGAAAACAAATATTGTATTATTTAGACCACTTATTTTAATTCATTTGTTAAATCTATTACTCAAAACATTTGATTATCCCTATAATCAAATCGATGATCTACTCAATAATAGAATCAAACAGAGCTCAAAGATTCAACTCCATATGCTTATTTTGACATTAAACCCGTTTATTATTGAGATGTACTACACATGTGGAATCAATCCTGTTACTGCTACAAAGCTGTGAATCAATAACTGTGTTGATGGGAGGAGGATGTACATGTACAGAGTGCTGCACCTGCACTGCTGCTTGGACACTGATCTGGCATTCTTGATCAACTAGCTGGCCCTTATTGATTGACCGCGCAGTGGTAGAAGGAAGAGGCGGAGGAGATTTCATGGAGGGCCTCTTTATTAGGTAGCGGCGAAAACCTGTTCAGCTTTCATGCTGTTCTCTGCTTAAAAAAAAAAAACTCTGGTGACTTGGTGCCAGTCCTGCAACTGTAAGAGTCTTAGGGTGGGTTTAGTTCATGCTAAAATTGAAAGTTTGGTTGAAATTAGAACGATGTGACGAAAAAGCTGAAAGTTTATATGTGTAGGAAAGTTTTGATGTGATGGAAAAATTGTAAGTTTGAAGAAAAAATTTATAACTAAACAAGGGCTTAATTAACCATTCGATGAGATCAGTGCTGCAGCAAGCTGCAAAGGAAAAAGGATCCAAAAATATCCCCAGCACTTACTGTTCGGTTTAGCATGAGGCCCTTTTCGGTTAGTTCTCCCCAAGCCAATGGACATGCAGTTCATCTGTACGACTGTACAATCCAGAATTCGTCATATCATCCATCCATCGGTTCAACTGCTAACCAGTAACCACCAGCTGCGCCGATAGTAGCACTTGACTGATTGAATACACGGTCCGCCATGTGATGTTACTTCCTGCTAACACAATTCATTTCTTCACCGGGCTGCTGCTTTGTTTCTTCAGACTTCAGAGTTTTGCCTTGTATAGAACACAGTTTTACACATGAATTTCCTCAAAGCTGGTGAGTTCTAGAGGAATCTGTAGTAGTAAAATTACCATAGGCACCTTGAAGGAACTTTTGGTTAAAACCTCCTGAGCGTGAAAGCAACCCTGAGAGCCACTTCCCTGACTAAAGAAGACAACCGTCAATAGGTCCTCAAGAAGAAAAATTCCAGATACACAATGATCTAAGCATCCAACACGAATACACGATCAAGACCTTCAGCTCATATATTCGAAGCAACAGCGACATGGATTAATCTACAAGCACATTTATTTATGGTGGTGCATATGTGCAGTTGGGAGTTCTAACTTAACCATCACCCACTAGAGACCGGATTGATCTGCATTTCGTTACAGGTATGTACCACACTCTTCAAGAAACATTGGTCACGATCAGCAGGATAGCGATCATATAGTGGCACCAACAATAGTCAGCCAATGGGTCTTTTTGGGTTGGTCAGATGCATATATAACACTAGTGCGACTTGCTTATGATAACGAGAATGATACAGACAAAATTAATGGTTTGATCAGCAATTTCTGGCAATGGCCTTCAACTACTTCCAGCCTGCTTTAAATTGGCGCAGCAAATGTTAAGCCATGATGGCCGTGCTGTCACACAGTCTCTACGGAGAGAAGAATTGACTTGATGATAGATCAAAAGGCTAAGGTTGCGGCATTAAGCAAAAGCCAAATGCTAAGCTAAGAAAATGGTTTGAAAAATAAATGCCAAACCTGATATTTGTTTTAATGAAAAAGAATACTGGACCTTTTGGCCTGTATGCACGAGGATGCAGAAACTAGAGATATAAAACACTTCTTCATCATCTTGATAATATAACCATGCGAAGATGATCATTCATATGAGTGATGGCCACCATAGCATGATGTATCGAATCTGAACGATGAGAGAATATATGGATCGTGCCGATGATGTCCCACTGGCAAATCTGATAAACCTGCAATAGTATGGGAGTGGATTCTAATCCCTCAAGGGGATATCGGGATATCCCCTCGTATACCTTTTTCTTTCAAATTTGATGCAAATAGTTGTGAAAAATTCTGAAAAAAAATGATAATATAGAGTATAATGATAGTCATAATGCATGGCCGTGTTAAGCCTTAAATAAGGAACATGGCTCCGTCCAAATGAGCATCCCATATTTTTCGACCAAAAAATGAGAGAGAATCTCGTATGGCCGGTTGGCTGTATGGGAGATCTCTAGTGCAGTAAGAACATTCATGGTTGCAACCATCCAGGAAATAAATGTGACACCATGCCCCCATGTGGTAGCATTAAGCCCTTCCTCTGATAGCCATGTGAGCTTGTTTGTAGCAGAGGTGATGGATCTCCCAATAGACTGGTCACTTTTGGTCACTGAACGCTCAAGTGAAATATTAAGATTGTGTTTAGTTCACACTAAAATTGGAAGTTTGGTTGAAATTGGAACGATGTGACGGAAAAGTTGAAAATTTGTGTGTGTAGGAAAGTTTTGATGTGATGGAAAAGTTGGAAGTTTGAAGAATTATTTTGGAACTAAACACGGCGTAACTGTTTGTGAACAGGAATGAATTTTTCAATGTTAAATCTGTAAATCATCAGTGGAAATAAGCAGAATGCATTCTACAGCAATTTGTCATCTTGAAGCTAGTGTTAAGATAAATAAACAATATTCCCTCTAGTAAAATCTTCTAAAATAGCATATTAAAAATGGAGTACATGCTGCAAGGAATATTATTCGCCTTCCTTAATGTTGTTATCAAAAGACGACCAGGTAGATAGTATATTTCTTTTCTACTGCATACAGCAGCAGAAGCACCACCACCACCAAATAATACATGAAGGAATGTAACTGGGACCTAGTTTCATCATATACACAAGTTGCTAGATTTTCAAGTTTTTGGCAAGAAATGAGCAGTACAGACATACAGTACGTTAAAAATTCTGACACTATTTTAAAGTCATCAGTAGAATTGCTGGCCAATGTAAGAATGGATTATGTTAGCAGGAAGACAAAACAGAGCATTATCAGGTATTATCACTTATGTCAGCAGGAAGACTTGTACTTTATCCTTTTTTACCTCGGTACAAACCTTAGACCTTATAAAAGAACAAGACAAACATAGACAATCCAGTTACTCCTGAAACACATCTAATGGGCTACGGAATGTTCTTTTCTTAAAAAAAACAGCAGCCACAAAGAACACTTAATAAAGCACATACGAAAATTAATAGCACCTAGAGCAAATAACTAATTTACTGGAGTAACTACTCCCTCCATTTCATATTATAACGCAATTTTGGTTTATCTTAGAGTCAAACTTTTTAAAGTTTGACCAAGTTTTTTAAAAAAAGTGGCAACATCTACAAAATCTCTGTCAATAAAATTATGTACTCCGTACTACAGTATGATCTCTTTTGAGTCTCTAGAAATTATCCAAACAGAATTTCTTACCGAGCACTAGAGTTCAAGTTCCACACTTCCACGTTGGCCGGCTGTTCAGCTTCTTCAAAACCCTTTTGGAAGTCTTATTATGACACCATAAACAAAAATATTCCCTTCTTACAGCACACAGTTAACTATGTGTAAATAAAGCTTTCAAATAGCCGATGACAAATAGTAGCGATGTACTTATCTGAATATTGAATCCATCACCAACTGGAAGGCTAGAAAACTGAATTCAGACATAGCGATTACTGTTAAAACAAATCTTGCTTGACGTTTCATAACTTCAATATATAATGCTTTGGCACAATTTTTTGCAAATATCATCTTCTGTGAATAAAAAAGGAAGAACCAACTGATCTACATAAACATAAAGTACGCATGGTTTATATTTTTAGCAATAAGCAAGAAGTACATATCCAATCAGCAAGAGTTTCTATTTAAGCCCCGGGTTAATATAAAGAATCCAAATATGCCATGAGCGAGGGAGTAAGAGAATATAACCATTGCCCTAGGATCACAAGAATTTACTTTTGGAGCTTGATTGTTAGGGAACAAATATCAAAAACTGCTCTTTAAATTAATGGATGTCACTTATTCACTCTATGCAACAATCACTTAGATCCCCTACATCCATCTCAGTATCATCTGCAAGAGCGCCATCATCCATGATATCATCTGAATCTTCACTTTTGACATCCAATATAGAATCAGTAGCACTGCTACTATCATCATTACCAAACAAATAGTCCTCTGAATCAAACAACTCGGCAAATTTACCAAGATTCTTGATCCTCCCTCTATAGCTGGTAAGTTGAAGAACTTTTTCCTTCCACCTCACCAGTGGGCACTTCTCTATCAATTTTGTCCCATCATAAGACTTCGTCAAGAACACGCTAAACCGCTTCCCCCTCTCATACACATAAAAGATGCCATAATGCTTCAGAAGCAGCCTCATCAACTTCTGCGGCATAACAAACTCACGACAGAAATATGTGAGGTGATCAATCACCAGCCTCTTTTCCAACGTGAAGTTCAGTACCTCGTGCATCACAGCAACTGCCCTCTTATCAAATTCAGGCGAGCCAGGAGTCAATCCTCTTGCCTCTGAATAAGGATATAGGTATGTTGTCTTCTGAAACTGCTCGGTATTCCCTTTTTTCACATAATGATGAACTTTTCCGTAGAATTTGTAGTAACTTGTAAAATTTGGTGGGAACTTCATGGGGAATGATAGTGAGAGCTCTCCTGGTGGACTGCCAATGCCGTTAGCATTTGCATCACCAGTCAATGCTGCTGTCTTTTTCTCGAGCTCGGTGACTGCCCAGTTTGGGTTCCAAGAGACAAGCTCCAGGTAATCGCCATCCTCCAACCTGACCACCCTGAACTGCTCGGGGAACATGTGAACCCATCGTGTCTTGAAATCATGAGGAAGCCCCATGTCGCGCCTGAAATGTGCAATCTTGTCGATAGCCAGACGACGGTCCACCGACATCATCAGCAGCCTGGTGACGTACTCAGCGGCCGTGCGCGAGTGATCCTCCAGCAGGCGCGCCTCCTCCTCGATGAGCGCCTCGGCCTGCGGCGAGAGGCCCGCCCACATGACGCCGCGGCTGTCGCGGCAGACCTCGAAGAGCTGCGGCGAGCGGCTCACGAAGTGGGCGACCTTGTTGGGCTTGGTGAGCCCAAGCTGCGGGCGCAGGATCTCGAGGCGCTTGAGCGGGGTGACGTGCTCCTCCTCCTTCTTGAGCGCGTCGACGACGGCGAGCACCTTGGTGAGCACCTTCCACCGCTCCGTGGCCACCTCGAGCGCGTGCACCCGCTTTTTCTTGCTCCGTTGCCTCACGTTGCGGCTCCGCGTCATCCCCCGCGCGAAAGATAACTGTGTGGGGCAGCAGAATCAGCTCTGGCCCTGGCGCTGGCCCCCGCGGCGCAACAGCTTGGCTAGACAATCCCGCAAACAGGTGGTGCGCATGGTGTCCCGAACGGCTGGAACGGGCATACACGGGAGTAACACGATGGTACGAACGCGACCGGAGCAGGAAGTGACGGAGGACGGCAGCTATCGGCGCTTCTAGCCGGCGGCGAGAGGAGGAGGCTGGGAAGGGGCAGTGGGATGGCCGGAAAGAGGAAGGGGGAATCAAGCGGAGCACGAGCCTCTACAACTGAAAGGACAGCAATGGCGATGCTTAAAACTAGCCCATGTGTTTGGATAGAAAATCTAGCCCACAGCCTTATTGGGCTTGTTAGGTTTGGGCTAATCCAAGAAATATTTTCAATCCAAAAGCCTATAATATTGCTGTTTAAAATCCAACCCATTCCTTGATGAATTCAGCTTTGTGGGACTTCTCGTTGTACCACAAATCTAGCCCGATCTTATTTTGGGTCTCTCTTTCATTGAAGCCTGTAACATTTTGCTATCCAGAAACATCTACTAATTCTACATTTCACCATCGAGTTTTACCAAATACCATTATACAAACGATTTTATTTTAGTGGTGCCACGTCTCCTTGCCCACCGCCGGCTTGTCCTCGATTCCTTCACCAGACACCTCCGTTGCGTCCTTTCTCTGGCCGCCACGACAAGCTCAACCTCGCATAAGACGTCATCAGTGGCTTATCCTCAATGCGCACTCCCACCTCCACCTCATCCTCCTTGGGCAATCGGCTCATCCTTACCCAAGGCATTGCCACTGGTTCAATTCCCCTTAGGCCACCAGCTGCCTATATGTCCTCGCATATCGACAAACCATAAGGTTTCCGTTGCCCTCAGTTACCATGACCGCGCGAATCTAGATGGGATCAACACAATCGAATCGTTGGATGCACAGCTCCACCATAAAGCCGAGTGGCAAGGTGAGTCCAAGCACAAAAGCAAAATGATCTTTCCACATGGGCTAATAAAACGCTATGGAAGTATGGATGGAAAGACGACAAATATGACGGTAGTGGCATTTTATAGACAAACTTTGTACTTTTGTAGATATTACACTCGTTAATAGAAAAAAAAAAGGAGAAGAGGTTGACACTTGTGGATGCCAAAACTTAGATTTTCTCAAAAATAAGCCATGACTGAATAGCTAACTAGTATCCCGCACAATTGTACAAAAGCCTACGCCATATATAAAAAAATAGTAATAGCGCCTTTGATTCATTGCCATTTGTAAGCTTGTAACGTTATCAAATTTCGGTAATATCAAACTTCTTAGTAAATACTAAAACAAACTAAACAAAACTTAAACAATTCGACCATTCTAAAGTTCAGTAACTCCAGAACCATTCACACTTAAATACCACTCCTAAATTATGGTTAGACTTATTTTAGCACGAAACTAAGCATACCCTTGTTACCACTGTCACAAAACCAATGTCTTCATTTCGTACAGGGTACCTTTTCCTGGGGGAAATATCCCATATCACAGACGCCCCTGTGCCATGGCCCATGGACAACAACGCTTTCGTTCACCATGTAGCAGTAGAAGATGCCGAGATGACGTGATGTGCAGGGGAATCAACTCGGCAAGTGTTGAATTCAAACATGTGCGTTTTAACTGTGCGTCAAATGGGGACGCCGATTTGAGCTCTCACCAGATTTATCTCTACCCCTTTAAATTATTTCTCGTTGTGCTTCGGATGTTACTAGTGCTATGCTACTACTATAGTATCAGCTCGTTGTTTTGATTATACTTATAATTCTAAATTTAAATTTATTTTTTAATAAAATAAATATATTTTAAAAGTAAATTTTCTAGTTGATTATTGTGATTTTTAATCATAGTTTATCTTAAAATATTTATTTTTAAATACCTAAGAACATATATAAAAAAATTATCGTTAAATTATTTTTTATTGCTAACACATAATCAACAATAGGTCTTGCTATTGCACTACGTGTCTACAGGTCTCATCTTTTCGTTTATGTTTATGTTTAGTAGCTAAAATTTAAATTTTTAACATTAAATAAACATTAAATTTGAAGCTAATTTTGAGTTTTTTTATCGAAATTTATTTTTCAGTCTTTGTTTTTAGATTGCTAAGAACACATATATAAAAATTTTATTCATAAATTATTTTTCGTTTACAAATATATCGTTTGGCTTATTCCACGAATAAGCTAACGATGGGACCGTACTAGGGGTGAAAACAGTACGGAATTTTTCCGGATTCCGGTCATGTTTTCGGAAACGGAATCGGCCGGTCGGAATTTTTTCGGAATTTCTCGGAATCGGAATCGAAAACGGAAATATTTTCTCGGAAACGGAATCGAATATGATAAAAGCAGTTTCCGTCGGAACCCGGAAACGATCGGAAACATTCCGGAAAAATTGTCGGAATTTCCGAAGTTAAAAATCCCATAGATTCAATAGTCCATAATTTATCCCTAGCTTCCCAGCCCAACCCAAATCGCGGCGGCATCTACCCTAACCGGCTAACCCTATAGGAGAGAGACCGTCAGACTCAGAACTCAGACGCGACTCGCGAGTTGGAGGCGGAGCGGCGGCTGCGGCGTCCAGATCGCGGCATCGCGGCGCCGGCGTGCCCTCACGCCCACCGCCCGTGGCGCCGGCGCCCCACCGCCCACTGCTGGTCGCCTGGCCGGCTGGCCCCCGCCGTCCTCGCCCCCACCATCTCGCGCCGCCCTTGCTCTTCGTCGTTTCGCCGCCGGCCGCCGCCACCATCTCGCACCTCCGCCGGCCTGCTCGGTCCCCGCCATCTCAAGGCGCCGTCCCACCGCGTCTCGCCGTTTCACCGTCGCCACCACCGCCGCCGCCGACGGAACAACCACCACACCGACGAGGCGACGACGACACCACCACTGCAGTCTCTTCCTCACTGCCACCAACGCCGACGGCTCCTCGCCTCGCAGCAGCCAGCAGCCCAGCGGCAGCATCTGAGCAACCAGCAGCAGCAGGTGTATATAGTGATTGACTTTGCACTTTTACTAATGCTCTATCATTTTTTTTGAAGGCTAATGGAACGGAACAAGAGACAGAGACAGTAGAAGCGGAATGTTCTAATGAGGATGGCATTGCGCCAATGGATGTTTGAAGAAAATGTTGGTCAATTTAATTTTCAAGTTACATCTAATTTCAAGTTTCCATTTCAAATTAGTGTACTCCTGCTGCACAAGTGGATGAGATATGTTTGAACCATGTACTGATGTGTTTTGTGATTGAACTATGTTTTGTGATGAACTATGTATTTATAGGGTGATGTGTTTTGTGATTGAACTAAGTACTGAAACACTGATGGACTGATGTGCGTTGCTGTTCTGTGATGATTGATGAACTATTGCTGTTCTGTGATGATTGATGAACTAAGTGTTGATGGACTGATGTTCTGTTGTTGTTCTCAAACCCATTTCCTGGAGTGATAGGCTGATAGCAGTATAGCACCTGAATTGTGTATACCTTATAGGCTTATACCATTCTGTTTTGCTGTATTCTTTTAGAATATTTGTTATGCAAATTATTTGAAGTTATAGAAGAATATATTTTGCTGTGAGGCTCAGTTTGAGGGGTTTATGTATTCCGATAAATTTTCGTTACCGTATCCGCGCCGGTTCGTTTTTGCTCCGTTTTCGGTTTCGATAATATTCGTTTCCGTTTTCGTTTCCGGGGTTTCCGATTTCGATTCCGATTCCGAAAAAAAATATGAAAACGAAAACGATAAAGGTTGTTTCCGTCCGTTTCCGTACCGTTTTCACCCCTAGACCGTACGTTTGCTGGTGTGCCGGTATGGCGGTATACTGTAGTGAAACCTATCGTCCAAGAAACCTGCCTCTTCCGGTCATCTTCAGGCGTGCGAGTGGTGTTTGTTTGGACCAGATAATAAAAGCCATAATCCAATTTATCCAACGCGTGGTGCGAACAGAATAGCAGCGACACTCCTGTGGTTCGCCGATCCACCGTGCAGCCGTACGTGCCACCAATCATTTTCCAGCCGAAAGGGTGTGTGAGTGTGTGACAAAAATGGCCAGTTGCTTCGACAAAAATGCAACCGTGGTTCATAGCTATCTCTTGGAAGGACGAAAGGAAAAGCAAAGAACACGGAGAATGTCGATGCACATGCTGCCTGTAATTTGTCTCTCTCTCCCACAGCTAGCGCCACCTAAAGTTGATTGAAACCCGACTAGCTATTTGGAGGGATTAGAAACCCTCCCCGCCGGCACGAGGATCAAAGTGAAGGATTAGCACATACTACCATAAATATAAAAGTTTAAGATGTTTTTGCCACAAGTTTTCGTATGTCGTCCGTTTTCGATTCGTACTGATATCGTCTACAAAGCGTTTTCCCCATCAAACAACCCCGCCATGTAAATCGAATCCGTTTCCGTCTAGAGCAACTAATCAGCGAGGTCCGTAAAAAAAAACTAATCATCGAGGGTGTGAGGCGGATAATTAACAAGAAATATTTTAACGCACAAACTAATGCCTGGCTTTCAAGGAGACCTCATGCTTCTGTGATATCATACACAGTTGTTCGCTAGAGAAATTAATAACTAACAGGAGATTGACTCGACTTTCTGTTAACGTTAATATTAATATTTCTAATCCTATACCCCACTAAATAAAATATTTGAGAAAACGTCTTTTTTATTCTTCGACCTTGATAACTCTTTTGATTTAATGACTGGTCTCAGGATTGAAGTAACCGTCCTGACCATGCCTGGTTTCGTCTAACAAAGAGCAGTTGGAGATCACACACTACTAAAAACCGAAGTGCTTTCGTTAAACGTTATACACGATTTTTGTATATCGTCCTCATAATGAAAAATTAAACTAGACTCCAGTTACCCTAAAAACAATAATTCTCTACTCCTATTCGTTTTCCGTTATGAGATTGTCCTCAATTCTTGGTTCCATCTTATGATTTTTCTTTCAATTTTTAGGTTGAAGACTGTTATTATTATTATTATTATTATTATTATTATTATTATTATTATTATTATTATTATTATTATTATTATTATTATTATTATGGTAAATTATGAATTGCACATAAGATTACTAGGTCTATTTGAAGAATATATTTTTCTTAAAGAGCTGATATTATAAAAACGATATCTAATCATATAGTAATTATTATAATTTTATTTTTTTCCATTGCAGCGCACGAGCATATTTGCTATAACAATAATAAGATTAAAATAGACT